GGGAGGAACTGAGGTCTAAAATAGGCTCTTGCCTGCTCTGAAAAAAAAATCCCTGTTTTGTAAATTCTGCTAATACATAAGTATGTAAGTAGCTCTGTTCAGGCTAGGTCTAGGTGCAGTTTTAGGTTCAGGGACTAGTGCTCTGCAGGACCTCACTCAAATCACTTTGAGTAAACTCAGTAATTTCCGTCTCTCTATAATAATTTGTCCCCCCTGAAAGGACAAATCTTGAAGCACAAGGTCAGAGATGACTGATAGTTCACAACAGTAACCACTGACTTTGGATGCAGAGCTCAGAAAACCTGTAAGGCCAGATTTGCAAAGATCAGTAGCAAGAGCTTCTCCAGAACTTGCTAGTGCTGAGAGATGCTGGGATGAAAACCAGAAACCACCCCAAAGCTGGCAGAGAGTGGTGGGAATGGGTACCTTCCGTATCCGCCTTGGCACATCAGAGGGCTGCTGAATGATGAGGTTCAGTTTCCTGCCTGTGATACGTGCTAAGTACCCTTGATGTGGCCTCTGGCATTGCTGCCCATCTCCCTGTAACACCCCAGTCTTACTCTCTCAGGATGGTGAAGTCATATGTCCACTTTGGGAGCAACTGGAGGAAGCTTTGCTCTGTCAGTGACCAGAGAAGATCCAACTGGCTGATGCAGGAACAGAAAAGGATGGAGAGAGGGACCTTGCTGCTTCACTGCCTGCAAACCTTTCTGGAGCAGTATCACAACCTTGCACTACTATGACCCTGCTTCTGGTGTCTCTCATCAAAGGCTGAGTGTGTCTAACTCACAAAGCCCCCATGGAAGTCTGACTACTCACAGTGACTGCAGGTCGTGAAAGAACATGGAGAGTGCCGAAGCCAGCGCTAAGCATGTGCTGCTAAAAAGATGTACGAAGCACCAGCCAGATGCTGCAGTCAGACAGAACTGGGGCAGAAATAAAGCAGCACTGAGGGGTTTTCCTTCTTTCTTATTGGAGAAGGTGATTCAGTGCTGGAACAAACTAGAAAGAAAAGGAAACGCAGGACTCCCCATCCCGCAGGCTGCCTCTGTGCAAGGTCTGTTTTTATCCCCCCCAGTAACCTCCAGTACGCACAAGCCACTGGACTGAATAGGGAAGGATGGGGCAAGAACAGAATAGCCCGGCTTTACGCAAAGGTCTCTCAGAATCTGACTGAATTGCTTAGGCTGCCTCTTCCTCCTTAGTGCCTCTTCCTCCAAACACTTCTGGGATTGTCCCCCGGACTGCAGTGGGACTTTTTCTCAAATAACACTGGTCAGAGGTGGAAGCCTCAAGAAGGGGATGGTTATGTGAAATGCTTCGTGTATCACCCCATTGCCTGTCATTAGGAAATATGTTCTTTTGGGATGGAGGAGCTGCTTATTAATGGCTTAGGAGACTGCAGGTTCATGCATACATCACTCTGGGGCCTCACTACTGGCCTGAAAACTGCCAGATCTCTGGATGTCAGTACAATTTGCCTACTTTTGGTTTCACCAAAAGACCTACTATGGGGTGACCCCAGAGCACTTTTAATTAAGGTCTGCAAAAAACACAGATGCAGATGAACACAGGGCCTTACCATCTCCCACTCACCCCTCTCTGCCTCCTTCAGATGTTCTCCCTTCTCTCTACCCCACATCTGTACTAGCACAGTCATCCCCAGCTCCCCCGTGGTTGCTGAAATCAGTGCAGTTCCCCTGAGAACAGCAGTAACCAAAGCTTTGAGGTAGACAAGGACCAGCAGCCACCAGCATTTACTGCTGTGCCAGTCTAGACACACTACGACCAGAGTTAGATGGAATAAGGGTCTGAGAGCCCCACTGCTTATTCCCACCTTCTCTGTGCATAAAACGTGTGGTATGTAGAAATCAGCACAGCCACCACTATGATGCACCACCCCTGGAGGAGACAGCAGAGGAAGATCAACTCAGAAGATGGATGACAATCACGCTGAGACCAGGAGGGATCTCCTGGATGGACACCAGTACAATCAAGTCACCCTGGTGGACCATGTCACTTCCAGCACCAAGCTGGGATAGTGTGAGGATTGGCCAGGAGCTGAACATATCTGCCCACATCACCAGTCCGGATGCAGGAGGGCCTGGAGATGCTGAAAGCATCCAGCCAAACCCCGTATCTAGCCATTGTGACAGTCTGTAAACTCCACCTGCCAGTGTGCTCAGAGCATCCCTTTAACACCTTCCTGTGACACAGACATTCTGCTTCTGGCCATGCGTCTGTGAGTCTGGAGCGAGACAGCTGAAGGCCAACAGGCCAGACGGGTCATCGCCACCCTGAAGAGAGCAGGAGACAGTCCATGTGCTGCAGCTGCACCCCACGGCCAGGGCCGATAGCCCCTGTGGCCACCCACTGGTACAGTCAGTGGCAAGGAATGCTGACAAGGAACGCCACAACCAGGGATAGGAAGTCAATGGACACTCAAACCCACATGTGGATGCTCTCCCTGGGGAGCACTGAGACCTCTCTCACCTCTCCTGAGCACCAGTGAGGTTGGCAAACACACCCGAGCCCATTTCTGCCTCCAAGGAGGTACAACGGGGCATTCTGCCGCTGCCTGCAGTGCAAACCAATTCAGCCCAGCACCAAAATAACCAACTCAGCAGCATTTAGGAGCGGAGTTATTTCAGCACACGCTGGTGTGTGGGTGTTCCTAGGGCAGAACAAGAAAGCCTTATTTCAGCACAGCCGAGGAGTTCACTGCAAACCACCCCAGCGCCCCACTGCCCACATGGAGTTAAAAGTGGGAAATGCAAACAGAGGAGGCAATTCCTGCTCCCGGAGAGGAGCGAGCCCTTAGCACTCTCAAACGTAAAGGTTCCGGGCTATATCACCGTTCCTCCCGTGTCGTACGCCTTGTCCGGGTCACAGGATGGTTCGGGCTCAGTGCTGTTAGCAAGGATTAATTCAGCACGTAACACATAATGGACTGTGGGTGGCCCAGGAATGGTGACCTGCTGAATCCTCCTAAAGACGGAGAAAAAGATCTGGCTGCTCCTGGGGGAAACTCGTAGCGCTGCTGCTGTTTTTTTTAGCATTTTTCTTCATTATTATATAGAAACCAAATGACACCAGGCGACTAGAACTCCAAATAACCTCAAGGCAACCATCACTTTAAACATGACATTTTTGTCTGCAAGTGGTTTACCTATTATTGTAACTTGTAACTTCTAAAATTCAAGTAATTGGCCTCAGTTTGCTTTCCTTCGGGATAAAAAAAAAAAAAAAGAAGCAATTTTTAGCTTGTTTCTTTTCTGTATTTGGTAATGACCTTTTCTCTGCTAGTGTGAGTTTTTCACAGAACTAAAGAGGAAAAGAAAAACTGTAAACCGAAAAATAATAAGGGAAAGAAATGGCACAAAAATGAAAGCTAGAATCCAGGGAGACAACTATGTAGCTAGAAAATAACCAGATTTTAGAAAACACGTGTATCACTTTAATTCACCTCTTTTGTGAACCTTACCGGTCAAATCTGCAGAGGGTGTTCACCATCCTCTCAAATGGGCTTCCACCGAGTGACAAACACCACTGGTTTCCACCAGGTCAGGATCCCTACCCCAGACCCATCACCATCTACAGGACCTTGCAAAAATCACACTTGCCTGGTATGAAGGAAACAGATTTGCAGCCTATTAAGGGCATCGCATTTCCCAAAGCTTCAGCTGGCCAGACCTCCCCAGGGAGCGTTCCAGACCCAAAGTCCCCCAAATCCCTCTTGAGATGCCATCACCATTACCGTCACCTGGCTTGCTCTGACCTGACAGGAACTCTGCGTGAAACTGTGTTGAGATCATGCAAGGGATTAAAGTCAAGTAAGCACAGAAAGTTCTGCTGACTCAGACACGTAGAAGTCTCCTTTTGAAAACCAGAGTCCTAAAAAGAGGCACATTTTCCAGTCAAATACTAGAAAGCGAATCCAATGTAAAAATCTCTCTGGCAGGAGCCCTGGAGATTGAGCCCCATTAAGTGCTGCACTTTTTACTGAACAGACCCAATATTAAAATAAGATGCATATATTGCTTCTTTTAAAAAAAAAAGCTACTAAGGAATACAATACTGATTGTGGTCTTCTGGGATTACTTTGACAAACTTCATACGCTCCTCTAGAAATAACAAATGCTTTGCCGAAACTTAACTCCTTTTCAATCTTACTCAGCCAACAAGTTAAGACTTTTTATTTTTAGGAAAAAACACATTAAAGCGATGGAGCAGCCCCTATAAAAGGAAAATCGCATTACATTTAGTCCACACTGATAAAATTCCACTAACATTTCAGTCAAATCAGCCTCTGGATTTTAAGATGTAACTTTAAAGGCCCCATTGATGGATTGCTGCTGTAATCAGAAAACATTAGTACATTGTTAAAACTACAGGAATTACCCAATAACATCTCTTAGGAAAGAGGAGCTAATTTCCCCAAAAGAGCAGAAAGCAGGCAGGGAAATAAATAACGCTTCCAGTACAAAACTGTTTATATTTTAGTTCTCTTATGACTGAATTGTTTCCCAACGTGGAAGCTATTTCTAAGAGCACACACTAGAGACGTCCCTTGAGCAATTCAACCAGATTCCCCGGGACTTTCAGTGACAGACTGAAACCGACACTGGTGGAAGTGTCTCCCTGTCCCAGCCCCGAGAGGTTCTGCTCGAAGCCGCACACACTTTTCATGCCCCGCTTTCACGAAACCACGAAATTTCGCTGCCAAACGGCCCCGCCGCGATGGCCAACCGGTCACACCAGGGCGAGCAAACACCACGGCGAAGTTCAGCCGTCCCAGCCCAGAAACGTGCAACCTCCGGGCGAGTTCACCGCCTGACTCCCCCCTGGGGGATCGGCCCCTCTGGACCAGCCCGGCTCTTCCCCGACACCGACGTGGGGTTTGAGGAGCCGGCGAGGGGGCTGACGGCGGCCCCCGCCACCCCGCACCCTGTCCCCCCGCCCCACCGACCGCCCGGGGGTCCCGGTGCCGGCGGACCCACCTGGGTTGAGGCTGCTCTGGAAGTAGAAGACGACCAGCAGGAAGGAGCCCAGGCCGGCGGCCAGCGCCAGCCGCGGCGCCCGGCTCCGCCGCATCCTCCGCCGCGGCTCGGGCGGCGCAGCCCAGCCCAGCCCAGCGCCCCGGGC